GGAAGTTGGAGCAGTCTTTAGATATATATATATATATATATATATATATATATATATATTGCAAGGGAAACTTGGGAGTGTTTTGTTCTCCTCTAAAACAAGCTAACAGCAGGCATACACTGCCTGGTATATTCCTTGGTGGTCTCTCATTGAGTGGCATCAACCTGCATTAATCTGACAGTGTGGATGCGCCCTACGCGGCACTATAACCATCGCGCAACTGTCAATACAATCCATACAAAGCAGAAGGAAGGATCCATACTGGTGGAGGTTGCCATAGGCAACAATCAAAAGGAATTTTAATCCATTTTTTTTTTTTGGGAAAGGGGGAGCTAGACTTGTTCCTTGAAATAATGTGTCTTTGAGACAACTAGATAGAATACACGTGGTACTAGGTTGTGCCTTTATTTCTGCGCATGCATGTGTGCATTAATCGCACGCCCACACTAAGAAAAAGAAAGCGTCGCCAGTGTATTTTGAGCGTGTCTGCAGACCCACCATTTCTCATAATGGTGCAAAAGCAGGCCACTTTGTACCTGCAAGAGCAGTGAGCTTCTGAGCATGTGCCGAGTGCAAAACCTCAATTCCCAGCCACTGAAGGCAATATTCCTCCTATTAAGCAGGAGAGAGGCAGAGTGTGGTTTGTGAATGTGTATGAATTTAAAGGTGCCATCTATGGTGTAGAATGAAGGCGGTTTGATACTGCCCTTGCTCAATGCGGTCGAATTGTAAGAGTTGTAGTTTGACAAAGGGCGCTGGTACTTCATCAAACTTCCAGGAAACCATAGCATTTTTTTTCATATCAGGAGCAACTTGAGAAACTGCAAGTTTCTTTCTGGTGAGAGAGAATTGGCTGTCTGCAAGGACATTGCCCAGGGGATGCCCAGATGTTTTACCAACCTGCGGGAGGCTTCTCTCATGTCCTCACATGGGGAGCTGGAGCTGACAGAGGGAGCTCATCCGCACTGGAGCTGACAGATGGGAGTTCACCACACTCCCCTTCACTTCTGATGTGAGAGAATTGGCCGTCTGCAAGGACGTTGCCCAGGGGATGCCCGGATGTTTTTGATGCTTTCGCATCTTTGTGGGAGACTTCTCTCATGACCCTACAATATAGATGTACTGCTAGTGATTTATAGAGTTGCACAAAAGGATCAGGGAAAACTACAAATCCCAAGATCCCATAGCCTTGAGCCATGGAAATTCAAGTACTGCCGAACTGCACCCATCCTACAGTATACATGCACCCCTACCGATTCATAGAGTTGAACAAGTAAAACTACAAATCCCAGCATCTCATAGCCTTGAGTCATGGAAGTTAAAGTAGTGCCAAAGAGCATTTATCCTACAATACTGATGTACCACTAGTGATTCATGAAGTTGAACAGAAGGGCCAAGTAAAACTACAAATCCCAGGATCCCATAACCTTGAGCCATGGAAGCTGAAGTAGTGCCAAAGTGCATTTAACCTACAATATAGATCAGACATGGGCAAACTTCGGCTACTGGCTGTTAGGAATTATGGGAGTTGAAGTCTAAAACACCTGGAGTGCCCAAGTTTGCTCATGCCTGATATAGATGCACACCTAGAGATTCAGAGTTGAACAGAAGGATCAAGTAAAACTACAAATCCCAGCATCACATAGCCTTGAGCCATGGAAGTTGAAGAAGTGCCAAAATGCATTCATCCTACAATATAGATCAGGCATGGGCAAACGTCGGCTACCGGCTCTTAGGAATTGTGGGAGTTGAAGTCCAAAACACCTGGAGGGCTGAAGTTTGCCCATGCCTGATATAGATGCACCCGGTTCGATTCATAGAGTGAACAGAAGGAAAAGGTAAAATTACAAATCCCAGCTCATACCCTTGAGCCATGGAAGGTGAACTAGTGCCAAAGTGCATCCATTCTACAATATAGATACACTCCTAATGATTCATAGTGCTGTATAGAAGGGCCAAGTAAAACTACAAATCGCAGCATCCCATAGTCTTGAGCCATGGAAGTTGAAGTAGTACCGAAGTGCATTCATTCTATTAACACACTCCTCACAGAATGGCAGAGAAGGTTGAGAGACCAAGTCAGACTACAAATCCCAATATCTCATAGCCTCGAGCCATGGCAGTTCACAGAAGCAACAACCAAAACTACAAATCCCAGAATTCCAAACCCTCGAGCCAGGGTTCAACTGGGGCTAAACTGCATCCATTCTATTGACTCATCCCTTGAAATTTCCAGAATGGCAGAGAAGCTAAAGACCAAGGAAAGCTACAAATCCCAATATCCCATCGCCTTGAGCCAGGGCAATTCAAGTAGTGTCAAACTGCAACCATTCTATTACCTCATTCCTTGAAATTCACAGAATAGCAGAGAAGGTTAAGAGTCCAAGTCAGACTACAAATCCCAATATCCCATATAGCCTTGAGCCATGGCAGCTGAAGTGGGGCCAAACTGCATCCATTCTATTGATGCACTCCTTGAAATTCACAGAATGGCAGAGAAGCTAAAGACCAAGAAAGACTACAAATCCCAATATCCCATATAGCATTGAGCCATGGCAGTTCATGGAAGCATCAAGTAAAACTACAAATCCCAGAATCCCACAGCCTTGAGCCAGAGTTCAATTGGGGCTAAACTGCATCCATTCTATTGACTCACCCCTTGAAATTTCCAGAACGGCAGAGAATCTAAAGACCAAGGAAAACTACAAATCCCAACATCCCATAGCCTTGAGCCAGGGCAATTCAAGTAGTGCCAAACTACAACCATTCTATTACCTCATTCCTTGAAATTCACAGAATAGCAGAGAAGGTTAAGAGTCCAAGTCAGACTACAAATCCCAATATCCCATATAGCCTTGACCCATGGCAGTTGAAGTGGGGCCAAACTACATCCATTCTATTGACGCACTCCTTGAAATTCACAGAATGGCAGAGAAGGTTAAGAGTCCAAGTCAGACTACAAATTCCAATATCTCATAGCCTCGAGCCATGGCAGTTCCCAGAAGCATCAAGTAAAACTACAAATCCCAGAATCCCACAGCCTTGAGCCAGAGTTCAACTGGGGCCAAACTGAATCCATTCTATTTACGCTCTCCTTGAAATTCACAGAATGACAGAGAAGACTACAATTAATGGAATTGAAGATTACAAATCCCAGTATCTCATAGCCTTGAGCCATGGCAGTTCACAGAAGCATCAACCAAAACTACAAATCCCAGAATCCCACAGCTTTGAGCCTGAGTTCAACTGGGGCCAAACTGCATCCATTCTATTGACGCACTCCTTGAAATTCACAGAATGGCAGAGAAGCTAAAGACCAAGGAAGACTACAAATCCCAATATCCCATAGGCTTGAGCCATCCATGGCAGTTCAAGGGAGGCCAAACTGCATCCATTCTATTAACACATTCCTTGAAATTCCCAGAATAGCAGAGAAGCTAAAGACCAAGGAAGACTACAAATCCCATTATCCCATATAGCCTTGAGCCATCCATGGCAGTTCAAGAGAGGCCAAACTGCATCCATTCTATTAACACATTCCTTGAAATTCCCAGAATGGCAGAGAAACTAAAGACCATGTAAGACTACAAGTCCCAATATCTATAGCCTATATTAGGCATAGGGCAAACTTCAGCCCTCTGGGTGTTTTGGACTTCAACTCCCACAATTCCTAACAGCCTAGGCTGTTAGGAATTGTGGGAGTTGAAGTCCAAAACACCCGGAGGGCTGAAGTTTTCCCTATGCTGAAGATAGGCGCATAAGCATAAGCAGAGAAGGCAAAGACCAAGCAGATTCTGGATTCTACCTATAGCCTTGAGCCACAGGTAGGTACAGGTAGGAGTCAGTTCAAACTGCTTGAATGCAATGCTATTGAATTAGATGCGGATTCCAAAACCCAAGCAAGGACCAATGCAAGAGACTCCACTTAGGCAGAAAAAAGGAAATGCAAAGAGACAGAATGGGGGACGAGGGCTGGCTTGAGAGCAGGACGTGTGGAAAAGATCTCGGAGTCCTCGTGGACAAGTTAAACATGAGCCAACAATGTGATGCGGCGTCAAAAACAAAAGCCAATGGGATTTCGGCCTCTATAGTGTCTAGATCCCGGGAAGTCATGCGACCCCTCTCTTCTGCCTTGGTCAGACCACACCTGGAATATTGTGTCCAATTCTGGACAATTGAAGGGAGGTGTTGACAAGCCAGAATGTGTCCAGAGGAAGGTGATTCAAATGATCAAGGGTCTGGAGAACAAGCCCTATGAGGAGCGGGTTAAAGAGCTGGCCATGTTTAGCCTGAAGAAGAGAAAGTTGAGAAGAGACAGGATAGCCATGTATAAATATGTGAGAGTTGACAAGCTGGAAAGTGTCCAGAGGAGGGCGACTAGCATGATCAAGGGTCTGGAGAAAAAGCCCTATGAGGAGCGGCTTAAGGAGCTGGCGATGTTTAGCCTGAAGAAGAGAAAGTTGAGAAGAGACAGGATAGCCATGTATAAATATGTGAGAGTTGACAAGCTGGAATGTGTCCAGAGGATGGCGACTAAAATGATCAAGGGTCTGGAGAACAAGCCCTATGAGGAGCGGCTTAAGGAGCTGGCGATGTTTAGCCTGAAGAAGAGAAGGCTGAGAGGAGACATGATGAGGGCCGTGTATAAATATGTGAGGGGTAATCACAGGGAGGAGGGATTGTATTCTGCTGTCCTGGAGACTAGGATGTGGAGCAATGGCTTCAAACTACAAGAAAGGAGATTCCATCTGAATATTAGGAAGAACTTCCTGACTGTTAGAGCTGTTCAGCAGTGGAACTCTCTGCCCCGGAGTGTGGTGGAGTCTCCTTCTTTGGAGGCTTTGAAACAGAGGCTGGATGGCCATCTGTCGGGGGTGCTTTGAATGCAATATTCCTGCTTCTTGGCAGAATGGGCTTGGACTGGATGGCCCATGAGGTCTCTTCCAAGTCTGGGATTCCATGACTTCTCTCCATCCCTTCCTTCCTTTTTGGCTCCTTACCTGCTGGAGGGACCAGGTCCCCGTCGCTGAGTTCCCCGGAATCCGAATCCATGGCGGTGTCCGAAGGGCGAGGATCCGGATCCGCGGCGCCAGGGCTCCCTCCACACCCGCGGAAGAGGAGAACGAGAGGAGAGAAGAGCAGAGAGAAGGAGGAAGAGAGAGAGAGGAAGCAGGCAAAGAGGCAGCAGGAGCAGCAGCCTCCCACGGGCGGAGCGTGGCTTTTGAGGGATTGCCGCCTGGAAGAAAAGAGGAGGAGGAAAAAGAGAAGGAGGAGGAAAGGAGGAGGAAGAAGAGGCCAATGGGAGCCCAAAGTCCCTCCCAGTTGCTGCTTCTTTCAGCTCCCAACTCAAGTCTGGCAGAGAAGGCGAAAGACTTTGTCCCTGCCAGGCTCCAATTGCATCCAGCCAGGGCAGTGCAAGTTGTTAGCATTGAATGGCCTCGCAGCTTCAAAGCCTGTCTGATTCCAGCCTGGGGGAAATCCTTTGTTGGGAGGTGTTAGCTGGCCTTGATGTATTCTTGTTTGTTTTCAGAGTGTTGTTTTTTAATTACGTTCCTGATTTTAGAGTTTTGTTTTTTTTTAAAAAATGCTGGTTGCAATATTTTGTTCAGACTACACAGAAAAGCCACTGAAATCCACAAGCATGTGGACAATTTCCACATTTCCATGGAAATGAACAAAATCTGGCTACCAGCATCTTTACTCTGTCCCTGTGAGAGGATGCAACTTCTCCAAGATTTTTATTTAATTTAATTTTATTTATTTATTTATCGTGTCATCCGCAACCAGAACATTGTATTACATTTCTAACAGAACAAAACAAGCAAACAGATTAAAAAACAAAAACAAAAAAAACCCACAAAGTTTGCAAGCTTGGTCGTTGATTAAATGTCCTCTGACCAGGATCTGGCCCCTTGGAGTGCCTCTGGTGTTGCCGCAAGAAGGTCCTCCCTTGTGCATCATGTGGCAGGGCTCAGGTTGCGTTGCAGCAGGTGGTCAGTGGTTTGCTCTTCTCCACACTCGCATGTCGAGGATTCCACTTTGTGGCCCCTTTTCTTGAGGTTGGCTCTGCATCTCGTGGTGCCAGAGCGCAGACTGTTCAGCGCCTTCCAAGTCGCCCAGTCTTCTGTGCGCCCAGGGGATAGTCTCTCATCTGGTATCACCCATGGATTGAGGTTCTGGGTTTGAGCCTGCCACTTTTGGACTCTTGCTTTCTGAGGTGTTGCAGCGAGTGTCTCTGTAGATCTAAGAAAACTATTTCTTGATTTAAGTCGTTGCTGGCTGATACCCAAACAGGGGATGAGCTGGAGATGCCACTGCCTTGGTCCTTTCACTGTTGGCTGCTACTTCCCGGCGGATGTCAGGTGGTGCGATACCGGCTAGACAGTGTAATTTCTCCAGTGGTGTAGGGCGCAGACACCCCGTGATAATGCGGCATGTCTCATTAAGAGCCACATCCACTGCTTTAGTGTGGTGAGATGTGTTCCACACTGGGCATGCATACTCAGCAGCAGAGTAGCATAGCGCAAAGGCAGATGTCTTCACTGTATCTGGTTGTGATCCCCAGGTTGTGCCAGTCAGCTTTCGCATGATATTGTTTCTAGCACTCACTTTTTGTTTGATGTTCAGGCAGGGCTTCTTGTAGGTCAGAGAACGGTCCAGAGTGACTCCCAGGTATTTGGGTGTGCTGCAATTCTCCAGTGGGATTCCTTCCCAAGTCATCTTCAGAGCTCAGGATGCTTCTCTGTTATTGAGATGAAAGGCACATGTCTGTGTTTTAGATGGGTTAGGGATCAGCTGATTTTCCCTGTAATAGGCAGTAAGAGCTTCTGTTCAACCATCTCAAAAGATTATAATAGTAATAATTTGAGAAGTGTCCGACGTGTGATCCGATACAACAGTTAGCAGAGTGATCTTGTCTGCTGTGGACTCATCTTGTTGTGTTTCAAATAATAATAATAATGATAATGATAATAATAATAATAATAATAATAATAATAATGGTAATGATAATAATAATAATAATAATAGGCTGTAAAGATCAAACTGCAAAGACTCTGGTACAAGCCAGTCAAGGTGGCCCCAGTGGTGATCGGCACACTGGGAGCAGTGCCTAAAGACCTTGGCCTGCACTTAAACACAATCAGCGCTGAAAAAATTACCATCTGCCAGCTGCAGAAGGCCACCTTACTGGGATCCGCATGCATTATTCGCCAATACATCACACTTGGGAATGTCCGACGTGTGATCCAATACAACAACCAGCAGAGTGACCTTGCCTGCTGTGGACTCATCTTGTTTCATTTCTAATAATAATAATAATAATAATAATAATTTTAGAGTTGTTTTTTTTTAAAAAAAAATGCTGGTTGCTATATTTTGTTGAAGAAGTTGAAGAAGAAAAACACGCCCTGGCAGAATTTGTCAAGGAAAGCCAAGAACCTGCTTTAATTGATGTCAATAATCGGAAACTTCTCAAAGCACAGCAGACAAAGAGTCAGTACAAGAAAACTGTACTCCAAACCAGAGCTGACAGCTGGCACAACAAAGCCTTACAAGGGCAGTTCCTTGAGAAGATTGAAGGAAAAGTTGACAAGGAGAAGACCTGGTGATGGCTCACGAATGGAACCTGAAGAAGGAGACAGAAGAAGGCCTGATTCTTGCAGCCCAGGAGCAAGCCATCAGAACCAATGCAATTCAGGCCAGGAATGAAAAATCAGTGAATGACCCAAAATGCAGACTGTGCAAGGAAGCTGATGAAACTATGGACCATATCCTCCATATCCTGTTGCAGGAAAATCGCACAGACAGACTACAAACAAAGACACAACTATGTGGCCCAAATGATTCACTGGAACTTATGTCACAAGGACCACTTGCCAGCAGCAAAGAATTGGTGGGATCATAAACCCACAAAGGTCATGGAAAATGAACATGCAAAAATACTGTGGGACTTTCGAATCCAGGCTGACAAAGTTTTGGAACACAATATACAAGACATCACGATTGTGGAAAAGAAAAAAGTCTGGATTATTGATGTCGCCATTCCAGGTGACAGTCACATTGAGGAAAAACAACAGGAAAAACTCAGCCGCTATCAAGACCTCAAAATGGAACTGCAAAGGCTCCAGCATCAACCAGTCCCAGTGGTCATTGGCGCACTGGGTGCCGTGCCAAAAGATCTCAGCCGGCATTTGGAAACAATAAACATTGACAAGATCACGATCTGTCAACGGCAAAAGGCCACCTGACTTGGATCTGCGCACATCATTCCAAAATACATCACACAGTTCTAGGCGCTTGGGAAGTGTTCGACTTGTGATTTTGTGATACAAAATCCAGCATATAGATCTCATTTGCTGTGACATACTGTGCTTTTGTGTCAATAATAATAATAATAATAATAATAATAATGTTTATTTTTACCCCACCACCATCTCCCCAAGGGGACTCGGGGCGGCTTACATGAGGCCAAGCCCAGCAATTACAACAATGCAAATATACAACATAAAATATAAAAAGATTACCCATTGGCAGCAGTAGAATCAGAATGTCCTTATTGTACAGTGCAGAAGGTCTCTAGGATGGCTATTATTAGATCCACCTTACAATGATTGAGCCAAAGTCTTGGAGAAAAGGAATACAAAGGGAGTATGCGTCACTTTTTCGTTTTTGGCCTCAGAATGTGTTGGGATCCATCTCTCTCTGGTTTCCTTTTGGTATGGTTTTGGGGTGGAATCCATCTTTTGAGAGTCCAAAGACAAGCCTGCCATTCAGAAGGTGGTAAAAGGGGAACACAAGATATATATATATATATATAGAGAGAGAGAGAGAGAGAGAGAGAGAGAGATACGCCATCCCTGCCACCACGTGTTGCTGTGGCCCAGTCTGTGTATATGTGTTTTGTGTGTGTATATATATATGTGTGTTTGTGTATATATATATATTGGACTGGGTTGTGACGCAGCTGGTTGGGAGTCAGCTGCATTAAAATCACTACTGACCAAGAGGTCATGAGTTCGAAGCCAGCCCGGGTTGGAGTGAGCTTCCAGCCATTTGTGTAGCTTGCTGTTGACCTTTGCAGCCTGAAAGACAGTTGCGTCTGTCAAGTAGGAAATTTAGGTACCGCTTATATGGGGAGGCTAATTTAACTAATTTACGATACCGTAAAAATAACTCTCCAACAGTGTGCAAAGAATGAGGAAGTACTCCATTGGTGTCAGAAGTGGATGGTGAAGTGACAGCTGCCCCGGTGGCCAGAATTCAAAAAGCATACTCTCATGAAGCTGAAATGTTAAAATAGCCTCTGTGTCTCTGTCTATATATGTTATGTGTCTATGGCATTGAATGTTTGCCATGTATATGTGTGCATTGTGATCCACCCTGAGTCCCTTGCGGGGTGAGAAGGGCGGAATATAAATGCTGTAAATAAATAAATATATGTGGTTTTGCGCATGCACTATAATGTATTTTTATTTTTTAGCTTTTTAAGTCTCTTCTGCCGTGTTTTTCAGTGTTTTTATGAGTGATGGTCACTCATTGGCCTGATAGGTGTATCGTGTCCAAATTTGGTGTCAATTCATCCAGTGGTTTTTGAGTTATGTTAATCCCACAAACTAACATTATATTTATATATGCAAAAAAGTCCCAAATCGGGCAAATTCATTCAGCCTGGGCTTTGTTTCAAAATGATCATGTGGCAAGGGAAGGGATGGTTTTATGCCGGTCATCAGATGTTCAAGAATATTATTAGAAGAAAAAAAAAAAACCAAAACAAAACCCAGAAAGGAATGTACAGTACTAGCATTAGTCAGGGGAACTTTCATATCCCATTGAAAGCTTCATTCTGAATTAATCTGTCTGCATAAGAAAATGTTTACTATTTATTTCCTTAAGATGTTGAGGTTGTGAAGTTTCACAGGCCATATAAAATCTTATTTATCTGCTTTGAACTGGATTATATAGCAGTGTAGGTAAAGGTAAACGTTTTCACCTGACATTAAGTCCAATCGTGTCCGACTCTGGGTGCTGCTGCTCATCTCCATTTCTAAGCTGAAGAGCCGGCATTGTCCGTAGACACCTCCAAGGTCGTGTGGCCGGCATGACTGCATGGAGCACTGTGCTGTCACACGCTGGGCCTATAGCAACTGGCTTTTGAACAGGCCGTGCTCTTTGTGCCCAGCGGGAAGCCAGGGTGCCTCAGCTGAGAGGCCCCTAAGGATTTTCTTATACAAAGTCTTTAGAAGCTTGAAAAGTTTA